ACACACACACACACACAGGCTGTATTTAGAATGGAATACTAGTGTACATCTCTATTCTATATATATACTAGTTATCTAGTCTAGTCTAGTTCTAGTTCTAGTTATTGGTTCTGAAAATGTGAATTTTTTTAAATTCATTTTTTTTGTAAGATTACTAAACTTTTGGTTTATTTATCACAGTGTTAATTGAAAATCTTAAGTGCATTGCATTGTGGGATACAATCACACTTTTCTGGTTGTATACTGCACATTTTAGGAAATGTAGCAGGTCATCTGGGTACTATTACATGTTTACAGCAAATTCACATACTCTTCACTGGAAAAAAGAAAATACTAAGGAAGGACAATTATTATTGCAGTGTGTATTTTCAAACGTTGAAGTCTTGCTAATACAGGACATTTACATCTAGAGACCATATTAACGTATTGTGTATATGCATACTTCCAAAACAGTATGCATAGTATGCCATTCTGAACATACTTGTGTTTATGAATAATTTACAGCTGTACAAATGCATTTTCGCTAAACTTGGTCTTTCTGTCCTGTTTGTAGTTCTGCCATTAATTCGGTGTCCTGGTCTCCATCGGGGGCGTACGTGGCCAGTGTTGAGAAAGGCAGCAAGGCCGTGCTCTGGTCTGACATGTGAGCTCTGTTCCTCCGCAGTGATTGGTTGAGCGCCGCCCCGCCGTGATTGGATGAAACGGACTGTAAAGACAGAAAGAAAGTGAGCCCACCCTCACGTCCCACTCTCTTGAACTACCTTTCCCACAATGCCATCTGTTCGGCTGTCTGTGTATGTGTGATCGGACAGCACTGCACACGTATTATACATATTTATATCAGCTTTCATGTACTGTCTGTCTCACACACTCAATGTGAGATGATGGAGATTACGCAAGTGACTCTCACTGTCCTACATGACTCTTACTGCTTATTTTAACACGGCTTTAAAATAGTGTGTGTTTGTGTGTTTACGGTCGGAGTTTATGCTTTGATTTGACAGATACAGGCCATTAAGGTGTGTGTGTGTGTGTGTGTGTGTGTGTGTGTGTGTGTGTGTGAGAGAGAGAGAGTGTGAGTGTGTTGGATGCAGGTCCAGTTGAACTCTATGGATGGCACTGTTCACAAAATATTTTTCCTAGAGCAGAAATCCCATATCTCCCTTTTTACAGTCTTGAATAAAACACATGTATTGAACGGGAACCCAATTCTCTTTAGAGTGAGTCTCACAAAGAAATTTATATTTTCTCCTAAAATCAATAGAAAATATTTTGCTTAAAGAAAATGGAGGCATTATGTTTTTATGATCATTTGCATTGACATTTTTTAGGTATTTAATCACATTTTACCCTCGTATTCTAATTGTATTGCCAAAAATTGTCATGAATTCTCATACGGTTATACAGTAATAATCATCCTGTCCATAAAGTGTTTTATTTATTTATTAAAATCTGCATAAATTATAGCCAGTACAACTGCCATTATTAAATAGTTATAAGAAATATATTTTATTTTATATTATTATAATTTATATATTTCTTTCCAGATGAAAGTAATTTTACACCACACCAAAATTATTTATTTTGGTTTGCAGTAATGAACATTTTGTGGGAAAAATGTGATTAAAATATAATGTCCATGTATAAAATAATAATAAATATCTAAAAAAGAAAAAGTAAAAATTCAGAAATAAATCTGAAATATAATTCTGAATTATAAAAACAGGCTTGATTTTCTTTATGCAAAACATAAGTTCTATTAGATTGCAGAACATTTTGGGTGAAAATGTGTTTGAATAAAAAAACAATGTACATGCATAAAATAATATTAACAATCTGAAAAAAAAAATTACTATATACAATTCTTAAAACAAGCATAAATTTCTTTATGCAAAATTAATTTCTTTATTTTGATTTTGGGGTGAAGTATCACTTAATTTTGTGAGATTTACCCATAAACTGTCTGTTTTTGTATGTTGATGCTCTGATTATTATCACATTCAAAAGAACATTTTTTTGGCATGCATAAGAGATTAAAAAATATTTCCCACAATTCCTTCCTATAGTTGACATGTTTATTTTAATCAGCTGATTAATAGGTGTCAGTTCGGTAGAGGAAATGATTTATAAACCATAGTTATTTCTAGACACCATATTTAATTTGACACAAATGAAAACGAGACTGTGTCACTTATTGTTTCAGCCAATCACAGCGCTCTTTGCCCTAAGCCCCTCCCCTCAGATCCCAGATGAGCATGTGCGTGTGCTGAACGGGTGTAAAATGCATGCAGTGACGCAGAATGTGTGCGGTGAGAAGTGTGTGTGTGTTTTAGTGGAGAAAGCGATTCTCTCTTTTGTTCTTTATTTTTATTTTTATTTTATTTTTATTTCATGCACACAAGCTCATATCCTGACAGCGTTTCCTCCGAGCATGACGTCTGTTTCAAATACTGTATCAAACTCTACGCAGACCCTCTCCTTGAGCTATTTTGCAAAGGAAAACAAGTGCACTTGTGATTCACCCTGTTGCCAGCAGCAGATCTGGTGAAGCTCGCACTTAAAAAAGACTGTAAAGCACCTTCATACGAGACTGAACACTATAACTGATGCATCTGGCTGGTTTTAAGACACTCGCGTCCCCTCGTGCTCAACGTGGGAGTCTGTCGAGGTGCCTAACAAGTGCACTTGGTTTCAGATGGAGGGGACTGCACACTTTATGGATGACTTGTGGGTGTGGCTTGTGTTTAGCTCCGCCCTCTCTGATGAATTTGTGGGTGGGGCTGAGAGTGGGCCGGCTTAAACGGACTGTGGGAGATAATTGTTGCTAATGTATATGAGGTCTCTGTATATGTCTGCTTAATGTTTGCACACCATAAAATGTGTGGACGATCCTTGCGTTTTTTGGTCTTTTTCTCTGGATTTTTAAAAAGGGAAAGTCGTGCATGAGTGATGGAGTTGTATTTATCTGTACAGTGTCTCTGTATGGACATCAGACAGTTTGGCTGAGGTTTCTTGGACGTCTGTGTAAATGAGATGAGAACGATAAGAGGGTCTTTTCTCTGGGTGTGTAATCCCATGAGCTGACATCAGCACTCAGACTGCTGAGATTGACAAAACGGTCTTAAATCGACCTACAACCACCTGCTGATGATCGTTCAGCTCTCGTCCTCTTTCTTTAATCACCCACAAGCATGCATTATGTAATGGATCGTTCCAATCCTGTGTTCTGATTGGTCAATCCAGTGTTCCAGTAAGAGACCAGATATTAACCTTAGTTGATATGACAACACTAGATCTACTAGTATCATCATAATAATAAAATAAAAAAAAATAATGTTCAGTAACATTCAGTCCATATGACTTAGTCTTCAGAAAACATACTGGTAAAGATGAACAAGGTTCTATTTGTTTGCATTCATTTACATTAGTTAACAAATTATGAATGAAACATACTTATTATTTTAAAGCACTTATTTAAATTTAAGAGAAAAAACTTAGTGTTTATTAATCTTAATATTGATTTTAACATTTACTAATAAAGTATTAAAAGCAAAAGTTATATTATTATTTAAATAATAATTTATTTTATTGTATTTTATTATTTACTTTTTATTTATAATTATTGTTGTAAAATTATTAAAAAAAAAGCAAATTCTATAATGAATCAAATAAAAAATAATTTTATAATTTATATTATGATTTATTCATTTTATTATTATTAAATATAAAACATAAAAAAAATTATTTGTAAAATTAATCAAATAAAAATAATTAATTTAATATTAATTTTATTTTTTTATTTTATTTAATTATATAAATTGAATGGACCTGAGCTTACATGACCTAATAATGAATTGTTGTATTTTTATTAATGTGTTTTTAGTTTATAAATTTTTTTAAACTTAATGCATTAACAAATGGGACCTTTGATTTTTTTTCTTTCCCACATATTATAATTTTTTTATAACAACAGACTGAAATCTAAGCTGTTTTTGCTGAAATTATGATATTTAGTGTGCAAAGAATTACATATTGGTTTCGTGCAAACTATATAATGACTTTTCAGAAGACTTTGAAAATAAAAAAATGAATCGTATGGCCTACTTTTATTCTTTTCTGGAGCCTGACATCCACTCGTTCACTATTTAAAACAAGCTTTGATATTCTGCTAAACACCTGCTTTCACAGAAAGTTACACTGGTTTGAGTAACATGAGGGTGAGTAAATGACCACAGAGCTGTTGTTTATGGTTGAACTAGTCTTGTAAACTAAGGTAAGGTTGGAATGCACATTGAGAACCAGCTCTATATTTGTTGATATGCTCCTAACTGACCCTTCACCTCCGAAGAAACCTCCTTCAGTCCTCAGAGCCCACATAATCTGTGTAAGGTTATTACACTAAATATGCTTTCTTGTTGCTTATTTAACGTGTGTGATATAAGAATGATATTCCTGCATGTTTAGCAGTGTCTTTATATGCATGTGATTGGATTAGTTGTGCATCTTCATTACTTCTGCAAGCCAGAGACGCTAATCTCGCTGACGGAAAAGAGCCGAATGAACGGCTAGCGGTGGGCGGAGTCACAGCTTACAAATACTGGCCCTGAAACCCAGCATCCACTCCCTCTTTAACTGAACACACAACATTAGCTGCATCTGAACACAGACGGGTGAGTTACTGCTGCACCACCACATCACAGCTCAGACGCAGATGTCAGAACAAAAAAAGAATTTTTTTTTTTTTATATATGTATATATATATAGGGATTATGGTGATAGATATTATTATTATTATTATAGTTTTTAATCAAGTTAGTCTGCAGTCAGTTTTAGACTTTTTATTAAAATAGGACATTAGACATCTAAAAACAAATATACAGTATTGTAGTAACTGTGGTCAAATATATTATTATTATTATTATTATTATTATTATTTTGAAAAAAGGTGAGTCTGCAGTCAGTGTTAGAATTTTTATTAAAATCCTATAATTAATATATAATAGGAGAAATAAATGTGTATATATAAATATAAATATGCCGTAGTAATTAGATATTATTATTATTATTATAGTTTATAATAAAGTGAGTCTGCAGCCAATGTTTGAATTAAAATGATTTAAATTGGACTTTAGACATCTTAGAAATAACAAATATATAGTAGTAATCATGAAGATTATTATTATTATTATAGCTTTTTATAAAGTGAATTTGCAGTCGGTATTAGAATTTTTATTCAAATTGTAAAATTAGACTTCATACTAATAACAAGTATTTCTAATTATAATTATTTTTATTTATTATTATTATTATTATTATTATTATAGTTTTTAATAAAGAGAAAAAGAAAAATCTTATAACAAATATACAGTAATTATGTAGCTAGACGGTAGCTAGATATTATTATTAATTTATTTATTTTTAATATGGTTTTTAATAATGTGAGTCTGCAGTCAGCATTAGAAATTGTATTAAAAGTGGACATTAGACATCTTATAAATTACTAATATATTGATGTGATTATAATAAAGTAATTATCGATAATTATTGATAATTAATATTGGAGTAATTAATATAGTAACAGGCAAGCAAACATGTTGTGTTTGTGTTGAGCTGTTACTCTAGATTAGTGTCGTGAGTCATCGGCTCAGAGCTGAAACTGCTGAGGAGTGTGTGAGATTATTTACAGATACATATTCACTACTCTTAATATTATGATTTCAATATTTAGAATATTAACTGCTGATGAGGAATATGAATACACACAGCCTTCCTGCAGGGAAAACAAGAACTGCTCAGATGCATATTTTGAATACAATGAAAGTCACTTTGGATAAAAGTATCTGCCAAATGCAGAAATGTAGGAAGTATTTTTTGATCATCATTGTTTCTGTTCCTGCTTTAGCAGACAGAATGAGTCCCAAACACGTCATCTACAAGAAACTCTCCAGAGACAAGTCTGTGAGTCTCTGTCCATCTTTCGTTTCGTTGTGTCCTTCAGTTCTGTTTTGTGTAATTATATGTCTGTGTTGTGGACGTGCCATAGGTTTAGTGTTAGTCACCAGTGATTGGTTAACGGTGTGTGATGTCACAGGTGGGCGTTTACATGGGGAAGCGGGATTTCGTGGATCACTGTGAGTTTGTTGATCCTGTCGGTGAGTTAAGCAGCCAATCACAGCTCACATGCAAATCACGGCTCTCAACGTGCGTCCACACCAGACTTTGATAGTAACAATGCAAACTGTGACTATATGGGCAGCAGGATATGATGTCATGCTTATTTTTATTTTGTTTTTTTAAAAAGGCAGAAGTTCCAACTTCTGTTGTGCCAGCCGAACCCCAATGTCCAACTTAATATTTCAATAATTTAACAACAAATTTGCCTATTTGTGGTTCTCTGGTGTCTTTTAATGGTCACGTGACATGTAGGTAAACAAATATTTTTAGTACGGGTTTTATTGTAATTTTATATATATATATATATATACATTTTATTTTTTACAATCAATTATTAGCTTTTCATTAACTCATAAACCCCCAGTTTGGAAAAACATGTTTTAAGAAATGTGACTCTGGAGCACAAAACCAGTCATAAGGGTTAATAAATAATCTTTCCATTGATGTATGGTTTGTTAGGATCGGACAATATTTGGCCGAGATACAACTATTTGAAAATCTGGAATCTGAGGGTGCAAAAAAATCTAAATATTGAGAAAATCATCTTTAAAGTTGTCCAAATGAAGTTCTTAGCAATGCATATTACTAATCAAAAATTAAGTTTAGATATATTTACGGTAGGAGATTTATAAAATATCTTCATGGAACATGATCTTTACTTAATATCCTAATGATTTTTGGCATAAAAGAAAAATCTATAATTTTGACCCATACAATGTATTTTTGGCTATTGCTACAAATATACCCCAGCGACTTAAGACTGCTTTTGTGCTCCAGGGTCACATATAAATAATGAAATCATCTAATCAATTCCATTTACTCCACTGCAAATCTTTGAATTATTTTAACACCGTAAAGCCTGAGATATGAAATAATTCAGGAAAATCTTTTTTTTTTTTATATGGAAGAAGTTATTGAACCTTTAGACAAATATTTTTAAAAAATCTTAAAATATGGTTTTTGTTGAGAATCATATTTGATCCATCAGGCTTTTATGGCTCATATAGTCTGATGTAGTGAGAATATAGAGGAAAAACAGTTCAATTTTATTCAGAGACTCTCAAAATGAACAAAAATATGCAATTTGCTGCAGATGCTGATATTTATATGATGAAATTCTGCTGCTTGTGATGTAAATCAGTGAGATCTTTATAACAGTTCAGCAGATACTGACATAAAATGATCTAAATATCAGTCGCCGCTCTATATCTCCAGTAATAAGATGAGATTGAAATGCTCCAAACATATAATGCAGTGATTGAGCGCTGAAGAAATAAAGGCTCCTCAGAAGATGTGAGATGTTCTGGAGGCTTGTGAAGATCATTCCTCCGCTGAGGAACAGTGAAAGTAAAGCTTCTGGAAACAAACGCTCCTCAAAAGATCCTGAGGATCAGATTTGAGACTCTAAAACATGATTGATGGAGAATCAAGTAAAGCTGAGCTGCTTCAGTCCAGTAAGTGTTCATCTGGAGATATTACTGCAGTTATTCTGACCTTTACTTGATCAAAATCAGTCAAGATTTGACAGCAGAAAGACACGTGAAGCGTTTCTACAATTACACTAAAAGAGCTTCGACTTGATACAAAACTCTAAACTCTCAATCAGACGACAGAAGACATGAGGAGATTGAGTGTGACAGGTTAAACAGTAGAGTTTGATCATGTTGATCATTTAGAGACCTTAATTTGCATCATACAGTAGACTTTATAGGGTTAAATAAATATCTGATCTACTGATAGTCTCTCTCTGGTGTGTGTCAGATGGTGTTGTGCTGATCGACCCCGAGCAGGTGAAAGGAAAGAAAGGTGAGACTCGTTCACAGACAGATGGCAGTGCGGAGCTGCTTTCACACCTGTGTCGATGAGTTGAAGTCTGTGTGTTCATCTCCTCTAGTCTATGTCATGCTGTCCTGTATGTTCCGGTACGGTTGGGATGATATGGATGTGTTGGGGATGGCGTTTCGCAGGGATATCTTCCTGAGCTCTCCACAGGTCTATCCTCCTCTGCAGGACAAGGAACGCAGCATTCATACCAAAGTACAGGAGAAGATCCTGCGCAAACTCAGAGACAACGCATACCCCTTCTTCTTTGAGGTGAGAGTCATTCAGGGTCGCTTTTATTCATGAAAACAGCACAATAATTGTGCTGACAGACGCAAACTTTTACTTTAAGTGTTGTGTTTTCTCTCAGTTTCCAGATAACCTGCCATGTTCAGTGTGTCTGCAGCCGGGGCCCACAGATGTAGGAAAGGTAAACATCATAATCATACACATTCAGTGTTCTGAGACTGTTATATTTTTTATGAATAATTTAGATATTTTTTTTATTTGAATTTTATTATTATTAATTTTTATTATTATTTTTTTAATATTATGTGTGTGTGTGTGTGTATATATATATATATATATATATATATGTATATGTGTGTGTGTTTATAATTTGTTTTTCTTTTATTAGTCATATATATTCATATTTTAATTGCTTTTTCTGTTTTGTTTTGTTTTTTCTTTTATTAGTCGCTTAGCATTTATATGTTTGTGTTTATACACACACACGCACACATTTTATGTATGTATACTGTATGTATTTAAAAAAAATGTTCAGTTTAAGTTTATTTAAAGTAACGGGAGTTTTTTCATGCTTTTAGTTTTAGTTAACTATAATAACCATGGTTTGAAATGTATTTGTGTGATTAATTGGAGCAAAAGTGTTTGTGTTTGTGCAGCGTTGTGCAGTGGAGTTTGAGGTGAAGGCCTTCTGTGCAGAAAATCAAGATGAAAAAGCCCAAAAGAGGTAAGAAAAGTCACAACCGAGCAGTATTCATTATCAGACCAACATAAGACCCCCTAAAAGATCGAAACCAGACCAGTACAAGACACCTTGAGGCCCGGAACAGGTCCTTGCAAAATGAAAACTCTGTGGCCCGGCCCTGCATCTTGAAAAGTTTTGCCAAAATATCCTTATATTACCTCATTTGAAGATGATGAATTCAAAAGTATCAATAAAAACTTTCCATTGCGTAGTTTTTTCCCAAAATAAGAATGAAAATTTTTCTGATTTTTTGCATGTACGTATGTATAATTATATGTGTCAGTTCTAATGCACTCTTCAAAATAACAAAAGCAGTCAGTTTTAAAGAAAAAGAAGTATTTAAAATTTATCGTTTAACTTATATGGAGTGGAGTGGAAAATATGGAGTGAAATGTTTTTTTTCAAATACTCAATTTAAAGACAAAAACCTTTTTTTCACAAAACCTATAGTTATCTGTGTCTGTTTGGATGCAGCAAAACACTCACAGATGCAGCAGAAAACATCTGGCTCATGTTTGCATTTGCGTCTTTCCCCGGCCATAATTCTAACCTTGAATTCAGGATTAGGCATAAAATAATGTCACACATGTGAAAAAGGGCTGAGAATTGAACAAATAGTTGTAATCTGGCTCAGGGGAAGTTTTTTTTGCTGTTTAAAGGAAAATACTAGACTTCTTCACCTTATAAATGGTTGGCGTAAGCCAAAATGCTATGACATTAATCATATTTAAAGAGAAAGTGTGACATGCTTGCTTGAGCAAAACAGCCACTATTTTTTTTTAAATCAGTATTGCACAATTAGTAAGAAACAAGCATTGGATTTCATGCAGCAAATATGATGCAGGGCGGTGTAATCTCTTTATAGAAATATATAAGTGTGTCTAACTTCATCTGCATGCATACAGTTGTACACTCATGTAATGCAATATTTACTATATAGCAAATCTCAACTGCTTGATTGTTTAAATTGTCGCAAAATGTAAACACTAATATCGCCCAGCTCTAATCTGCTAAATGCAACTCTAAAGCATGAAGATATTAGGATATAATAAGCATTCTGTAAAGACCCAGAGCGTGTTCATGTGGTCTTGAGGGTCCTGAGACGGAAATCCCAGGATGTAGACTCCAGCTGTTTGCACGATGCGCTCTGTATACCCATCTCTGCCTTTCTGCAGGAGCTCGTTCCGGTTGGCCATCAGAAAGATCCAGTACGCTCTAGATAAAGGAGGCGCAGCTCCATCGGCCGAAACCACCTGTGAGTTCATCATGTCTGATAAACCGCTGCACATGCGGGTCAGTCTGGAGAAAGAGGTGAGACGTCCTGCATCATATCCAGAGACTCTTTTGACTTTTCGGCCTCTTTTTTTATCTTTTTGACACAAGACATATTCAAACATATTGGTTAATCCTTAACTGAACATAAGTAAATCTGCTGAAATCTGAGATTGTTGGTCTTTCAGACGTATTACCATGGAGAGGAGATCAACATCAGCGTGGACATCGACAACAGCTCCAACAGGAACGTGAAGGACTTGGCAGTCTCAGGTACGTAAACACTTTTCACTGTAAAACTGATAGGAAAGTGTGTTTTCGGTGTGTTTCTGAGTGTTTTCTTTTTCTCTGTGACAGTGGAGCAGGTCACTAATGTGGTGCTTTACTCTAACGACAAGTACGTCAAAACTGTGGCCTATGAGGAAACCACGCGAGTACAAACACACACCATTATTATACTTAGAGGCGGAGTCTGTGATGTCACATTGATGTCACATGCTCTTATGACATAATAAATGAGCTCATGTTGAATCCATAGTGTAAGCAAAAACATCAAGTAAATAAGATTTTTAAAAATATATTCAATTTATTTGAAATTGTAATAACAAAAAAATATTTCTGTTTCAAATAAATGCTGTTCTTTTGAACTTTCTATTCATCAAAGAATCCTGAAAAATTAAATGTATCACAGTTTCCACAGAAATATTGTGCAGCACAACTGTTTTCAACTGATAATAATCAGAAATGTTTCTTGAGCAGCAAATCAGCATATTAGAATGATTTCTGAAGATCATGTGACACTGAAGACTGGAGTAATGATGCTGAAAATTCAGCTTTGATCACAGAAATAAATTACAGTTTAATACATATTCACATAGAAAATAGTTATTTGCCAATGAAATAGAAAATAGTTATTTGAAATTGTAATAATGTTTCACAATATTACAGTTTTTCTTGGTCAAATAAATGATGAACATAGGAGATTTCTTTCAAAAACATTAAAAAAATTCTTACTGACCCCAAAAGGTAGTGTATATCACCATACTTACCATATTATATATCACCATACATCATTAATATTACCCTGTGTAATATTACCCTGGCATTTAATTACCAAAAAAAGGGTCAACCTTGCTGCGATAGGATTTCTAATAGCGTTTCTGAGGGAGTGACTGTAAATCTGACGTCTTTCTTTACTGTAACTGCTGTAATCCATCTCTCCGCATTTTCTTCCTCTTCTGGAAAGTCGTGGGAACGCTTTTTCACTGTTAGAGGACATGGGAAAGCAAAAATGATATTAGATAATCTCTCGTGTACCTCTATAGAAGTTTACCCTACTATAGTTTACTTGGATTTGAAAAGGTTTCATTTGATTTGTCGCAATGCATTCTGGGATTTGAAGATTACACACTACTTAAGATTCTGGTTGAAATGAGGTATATTATAATAATTCTGCATTATTCTGATTTCTCAGATAGGAATATTTTGAAGTTTTTATGTTGTGAAGCGCATATCTGATGCCTTAAAGTGCACACTAGGTTCAAATGTAACATTTAGGGAGTCTCAGCTTTATGATGTCACTATCAGAATGTTACATATGTATCATTTGTGTTCTGATTCTGATGTCACAGGGACACTGTGCCGTCTGGTACGAGTCTGAAGAAGGTTTACACACTCTGTCCTCTACTGGACAATAACCGTGAGAGACTGGGACTCGCTCTGGATGGAAAACTAAAGAATGAGGACACTAACCTGGCCTCCTCCAGCATGTGAGTGCGGATCATTCAGCACTGTCACAAAATAATGATTTTTCAAAGTTGTATATAAAAATAAAAATAAAAATCAGTATGTTTACAAGATAAAAACTATTTTACATTTCTTTACATTTTCTCTACTGTTTCTTTAAACAATTTTGACTCAGAAATTGCAACAAAGTAAATCCTACACATTTTTTCAGTGTTCATGGATAATTTGATAAAACCATAAATGTTTTTGTCTTAAAGAAATAGTACACCCAAAATGAAAATTTGCTTTGAATGTTCTCACCCTCAGGTAGTTTAAGATTAGGATGAGTTTGTTTCTTCATCAGATTTGGAGAAATGTAGCATTGCATCAGTGTCTCAGCAATGGATGCTCTGCAGTGAATGGGTGCCGTCAGAATGAGAGTCCAAACAGCTGATAAAAACATCACAATAATCCACAAGTAATCCACAGCACTCCAGTCCATCAGTTAACATCTGGAGAAGACAAAAGCTGAAACACATCCATCATTAAGATGTTTTTAACTTCAAACCGTTGCTTCCGGCTAAAACATGAGTTCATAATCCATAATAACGCTTCTTCCAGTGAAAAAGCCCATCTCCTGTTGTCTCTCACACCAAAATCCTCCCACATATTTGTTTAGAGCTGTTTTGGACTGTTTAAACGGTGCTTGATCTGTGCAGATTTCTCTCCTGATTCAGACCAGACCACTTTTTCACTGGAGGAAGCGTTATTATGGATTATGGACTCATATTTTAGCAACGGTTTAAAGTTAAAAGCGTCTTAATGCTGGATTTGTTTCAGCTTTTGTCTTCTCCAGATGTGAACTGATGGACTGGAGTGCTGTGGATTACTTGTGGATTATTGTGATGTTTTTATCAGCTGTTTGGACTCTCATTCTGACGGCACCCATTCACTGCAGAGCATCCATTGATGAGACGCTGATGCAATGCTACATTCCTACAAATCTGATGAAGGAACAAACTCATCCTAATCTTTGACGGCCTGAGGGTGAGGACATTTTTAGGAAATTTTCATTTTTGGCTGAACTGTTCTATAATATTCTCTGCAGTGTAAAGGACGAAGTTCTGAAGGAGATTCTGGGCATGTTGGTGGCCTATAGGGTGGTGGTGAAAAGTAATGCAGCCGGGTGAGTGAACATGAGCTGTTTTGAGTTTAGGTTCATACATTTGCGAGCCAAACTAATTGGTTGAGGAAAGGCTTTGCTGAGTGTTCAGATGCTAATGGCTTCATTTCCGCTTTCTTATAGCATCGTTGGATCCAGGTGAGTTTTGAATCCAGTAAAGTTGTCTTGACTTTGTGAGTATGTACGTTTGTAAGATGTAATTGTGTGTGTTTCAGTGAAGTTGCCGTGGAGGTTCCCTTCAAACTCATGCATCCCAAACCTGATCCTGGTGAGCTGATCACATTGCCAAACATGATTTTACATTCATTTTCATCACAGAACATGAGTTCAAATCATACCTCAGTTTCTAAAATAATTTAAATTAAATGCGCACACAGTAATACTACAGTACATGGAGCAAATCTCACTCACATACATTATGTGATCAGTAATAAATAACCAGACATTCATCCACCTAAACTCATATTAACATACACAGGAAAAAATGTAAGTGCTCATATTAACTTCCAATATATGTGGCAATGTTACTTAGTATCATTATTAGTATTTTTAATTCGTTTTTCTTTTTATATTTGCTGTTTTCATTTTAATTTAAACATTTTTGTAATTTTGTTGTGTTTTTGCAATTTTTGTAATTTTTGTTTATAAATATGTCTATGTAGATTTTAATTTTTATTTCAGTTTTAGTTATTTTAGTGCATCAAGTTAAAACTTAATGAAAATGTGAAAAGCTGCTTTTGCAACTAGCTGAAATCAAATTAATTTAAGTTTTTTTAATGGTTTTATTTTAGTTAATGATAATAACCCTGATAAGTGCATTACTGTAAGCATGATTATTGTTTTTACAACCTAATGAGTCAAATTATCTTCTGAGGTCATGTAATTGTGAATTTGAATGGGATTTAAAAGACAGTTAATATTAAATAATATTATCCATTTATATGCACTGACACTATCGGATAAGAACAAAAATTTAACTGAATTTAAGCTGCTTTAGAGCTGAAATGTAATTTGTTTAATAAATGATGAATTTTACAACATTAACGCTGTAATTTTCCTGCTTTGAAGCAATCAGTATTGTATAAAGCACTACAGAAATAAATGTGACTTGACTTGATCTGATAATAACTGAATGTTATCTACTTTCTTTTTTCTCCCTGTTCTCCTCGTCCTAAAGAGAGGTAAGAAACCGTTATAATTTTCCACTGTGATTGTCCATTATCTGGGTGTATATTCTGTGGGGTTCATGTGATCTTATGCTATATCTGTAATATAATACCCTCCATATAGAGTCCTCGTGACTCTGATTCCACGTGTTCAGTGCACAATGTGTGGTGTTCACTTCCCTGTGTTTAATCTGCAACATCGCGCACACTCTTGAGATGATAAACGATCCGCGCTGGCTCTGGGAAGGGAAAGTTGATCGCCGATATCGGTGTCCCATCTAAATGCGATCGGTCTCTTGTGTGGAGCCCCAGTTTAGCGTCGTTCTTTCAGTAAATCTGTTGTTAGTATTCAATAGAAACTGTACTCTGACATCAGAACAGGGGTGTGTGTCGTTGACATAAAACACCTTTGTCCCTGTTTTCTGATTTACTGTTCCTCTTCATCTTCACATCTGCGATTCTATCGGCGTTGATTGAGTTTCTTGTCTCTGTGTGTTTAGTGAAGACACAACTGACCTGGTGTTCGAGGAGTTTAAACGCTCCTATCTGAAAGGAGTCATCGGCGACGATGACGAATCTCCGGCTGAGCCTTGAGAGCCTTCTCCATGGAAAGTGCTCACAGACGACACGTATAAGTGTTTTGTGTAGGCAGACTTGTGCGTTTAAAGATTCGTAAGCATTTATGGATGCATCTTAAAGGGTTAGTACACCCAAAAATGAAAATTAGCTCATAAATTACTCACCCTCAAGTCATCCTAGGAGAAGGCCTTTGTTTACCCCCCGGAGCCGTGTGAGACACTTTTTATTTTTTATGGATGGGCACTTTTTATTTAACTGCTTTTGGACTGATGCACTGCAACACCCGCTGAGTGCCATGAAACAGCTTGAAAGATCAAAGACAATTTTTAATATAACTCCGACTGGATTCGTCTGAAAGAAGAAAGTCATATACACCTAGGATGACTTGAGGGTGAGTAATTTATGGGCTAATTTTCATTTTTGGATGAACTAACCCTTTAAGGTTTGGTAGATGTGATGTGCCCTAATGCAAGAATATTTTTTAAGCCTGGTGAGAAAAAAACAATTGGCCAAATTACCATTTATCCTGCAGTCTCTATATATTCATTGCAAATAATTATGGATATTGTAGATAAATTAATCATGGCCGCTAAATATTTGCATTTTGACATGTAAGAACCAAAAAAAAGTCCCCCTAAAACTTCTGATAACATTATTCCAATTTAGATTAAAAGACTTCTTAGAATACTGAAATTATAACTCTAGAGCTTTCAGTAAGGATAAACTGATATATAGTACATTTTATTTGTCACAAATGGATGTATTGCACAGTAAATTAGTTGCAGTGTACATTTTTAAAGATGCAAATTCTGTTGTTCTGTTGTTATTTGCTCTTTAAATGCTTTGAGCTTTAATTAAACTATTTGTGACCGTAAAACAGCTGTGTTTACATGATCTCTGTACCAAAGGACTGGTCATTTTCAATCATTTTCAATCATCAAAGACCTGTAGCATATAACGTGGTAAAGTCTTGTAAAATTAGTGTATTTAACCAAAGACTCTCATGGCCTGGTGGAACACGACCCTACATTTAACATATGGCAGCAGAGATAAACTCAAACCTGTTTACCTTTAATGATCTGTGTTTCAGTTGAGCAGCATTTCTTGTTGCATTAACAATAATAAATCTATTTCAATGCTTATTTGAGTGTTGTGTTGTCTATATACTATTATAGTTTTCATTCATATTTTGAATTGGTTTTCATTTATATATATATATATATATATATATATATTAGTAATTATAGGATTTCAACTTATTACAACAAACCTTCAACAAGTTTTTGTCAGTTAGTTGCCAAGTATTTTTCATATTTTATTTTATTCAAAATTATATTATTCAAATAATTTACAGTATTCAAAATTAGTCACTTAAAAGATGTTAAGTTAGAATGCTGCCTAAGTAGACACTAGAAGCAAGCCAGCTCACTAGGTTTTGGAACAGAGCTGTTGTATTTTAAAATTGCCGAATTAAATATTCAATTAATGTTCAAACATTGGTCATTTACAAGGTTTTTTTTTTCAAGTAGTGCCTTGTGGATCTTGGTCTGATCAAAATTAGTCAGATGGAACTAGTTTGACTAGTCTAAGTGGAAAAACAACCAAAAACAAGGAGTCGGATTAGTAGTTTACAGTTTATTGGAAATATAAGGGTAATCAATACACAGAACATGAGCATGAACATGTTGTGTTATGTCATAATGTTGCAGGGTCATTGCTAAAATTCACAGCGACCAGAACAACATTTTTATGGGTGGGCGCCCTCTTTCCTGGACCCATATAGGCAACACCATAAGAGGCTTCCCAACATAATATTGTGTGTCTGAATAATCCATACTCAAAAGCCCAAAGTAAAGAAACTCTCTTTCTCTCTCTCAAACAGGTGTTTAACACTTCAATTGTGTAAGACAACACCTCTCTTTATTGTACCTCTCAAATACTTCTCTCCACTCACCTATCTTGAGACACACATACATGCACCAGTCCACCCAGTTTTCCTGTTCTCATTTTCACTTTTATTCACAGTGTGTGTCCACTGAATAGCTGGAAGGATGATATAACAGCTGATTGGTGCGTTCCTGCTCAGTTTTCATTCTTTACAAACATCCGGCTGAAAACATATCTGTCAAGGGAGCAACCTCCCGACTGATCCACCTCACTGTGTATTGATGGGGGCATAATACAGCTAATCAAGTTACGAGACATGCACTGTGAATAAACACCGCACATATCCACCTGGAGAACTAAGTAATTCCAAACATGTGAACTAGAAGGCCCTGCTTTCAGCCAAAGGTTTGCTTCTACATACAAACTACATAAAGTGGACTTAAAATAGAATCTACATTTGGAATATTATAGAAACACTAGGGGTGCAGGTTGAGGTTGAGAAGTGGATCATTTTAGAGGTTTGGTTAAGAGTTTAGGGTGCGGGTCTAGAATGTAGGGTGTAGTTAAAAGTTTGGGTAAAAGTTTAGAATGTTGGGTGTAGGTTACAATTAGGGTGCAAATCCAGGGAGTTGATAAAAGATTAGGTTTAGACTGTTGGTTGTAGGTTTAGGGTGCAGTTAAAAGTTTGGGTGAAGGTTCAGAATGTTGGATGTAGGGCGTAACAGTTTAGGGTGCAGGTCCAGGCAGTCATTTAAAGTTTAGCTTTAGAATGTTGGGTGTAGGTTAACAGATTAGGGTACAGGTCTAGGGAGTAGATAAAGTTTAGGTATAGAATGTTAGATGTAGGTCTAGGGTGTAGTTAAAAGTTTGGTTAAAGGTACATAATTCTGGGTGTAGGTCTAGGGAATAGGTGAAGTTTAGGTTTAGAAGATTGGGTGTAGGTTAAGAGTTTGGCTTACAATTGTAGAATTCAGGGTGTAGACTACGAGTTTAGGGTCTAAGGCCAGGGGTCTCCAACCCTGCTCTTGGAGAGCTACCTTCCTGCAGTCTTCAGTTCCAACCCTGCTTCAACACACCTTTCTGTTACTTTCACGTAATCCTGAGCACCTTGATTAGCTGTTGTGTTTGATTAGGGTTGGAGCTAAAATCTGCGTGATGGTAGCCCTCCAGCAGCGTGATTGGCTGCCCCTTGTCTGGGCTGTAGGTAGTGGTTTAGAACGTAGGGGTTGGTTAAAGCTCAAAGTATACTTCACTTTTTACGCGTACGCGAGGGACAGCGTACAGTGTGCGTGACGTGAATTTCGTCACCAGAATAGTACGCGCACCACACGATATTTGTAAGGTCGCACATGAGCATTGAATTATTTTTGTAGTAATCAGATGTTCCACAAGGTGGCAAAACTGTCCCGGGCCGTTGTTTCACGGTAGAAAACGAAACTAAAAAGACGAACAACAACAGATGGCTGCATTGACAAGCGTTTGTGAGCGAGAGGGTATGTGATAGCTCACCTTTTGTTTAAAATAGTTTTGTTAAAAATTTGTTATCGGCCATACTTTATGGGGAAAAATAGAGCAGACCCTAGACATGGATGAAGCTTGACTGTCCGCGTTCGCGAACAACATCAAATAGTGTATACTTTGAAAGGCTACACGTTCGACTGTACGCATACGCTAGCGTACGCTTAAAACGAAGTATACTTGGGGCTTAAGGGTTTAAGGTGTAGGGGAAGTGGGTAAGGTATATATGGGGGTCTCTGAAGTTCCCCAGGGATACTTATCGGCATCTGTCGGTGGAATTTTTTCAGTGTTTAAAGTGCCTCCATTGATATCTCTTCCAAACATGTCATCACATCTGTCTGGGTACAACAAAAACCCGCTGAATGTGCTGCTGGCCTCGGAGCCGGTGTACATGCCATTAGTGGTGACATCTTTCACCTGTACCCACACCCAGTCACCCTGGCTCAGACTCAGCACCACCTGCTGAGAGGCGGTGTTCATTTCCACTGGCGTAGTTGTCCTCACCACGGCCTCAAAGTTGTGGAAGAGTCCGACCTTTAGCGCACGGGTGGCCACTTGCAGATGGTAGCTAAACACGTAGGTTCCGTTAACTGGGGCAGTGTAGACGCCATTATCAGGGTTGTAGTTCTGGTTTAAGTTGTAGATGACACGTTTGAAAGGCACTGGGCGGCTTGGTTGAGGTAAGGAGGTGAGTAAAGCGGCGGAGAAAGTAGATTGCACAGTGGGTGAGCAAGGTCCGGGCATACCAGTCATTCCCATATCTCCCTGATCACCCTTAGGTCCTGTGGCTCCAGTTGTACCCTGCTCCCCTGTCGGACCCAAGTTTCCCTTCTCACCCTTTTCACCTGTTTGACCCTGGGCTCCTTGAGCCCCATCCTTACAATTGCACAGGCCCTGTGGACCTTGGTCACCCTTCCCCCCTGGTACACCTGGAAGGCCACGCTCCCCCACCACACCCGGATCACCCTTCATCCCTTTGGGACCAAGGTCTCCATTCAACCCAGGTAACCCCCGTGCACCTGCAGGGCCAGGAAGACCCGGTTCACCTGCCTGCCCAGGTATGGGCTCACAAGTTTCTGGGCACTGACCATCATCTCCCTTTGGACCCTGTTCTCCCGTAGGACCTTCCAGACCAGGTTCACCCTTCTCACCTGGGAAGCACATATACAAAAATGGTCACCAAGGCCCATAATAGGCATTGTGTGTATGTAAATGGTAATACATTAGCGAAGATTCACTGACCTTTGAATCCCCTGCCTCCCTTTGGCCCTGAAACTCCAGGGTAACCAAGGTCACCCTTATCTCCTGCGTCACCTTTCTCACCTGTGGGTGTGTGAATTACATTACTACCACAGTAAACTCAATCGATTTAAACACCAGTTTTAGAGAATAACATACTGACCATGGTCTCTGTGATCTACTTAAAGGGATAGTTAATCCAAAAAATGAAAATTCTGTCATCACCCTCAAGTTGTTCCAAACCTGTATGGGATTATATATTTTGAAGAATGTTGGTAACCAAACAGATTCTGGCAGCCACTGACTTCCATAGTGTTTTTTTCCAGTACTATTGAAGTCAGTGGCTACCAGCAACTGTTTGGTTACCAACATTCTTCAAAATATCTTTTCTTGTGTTTAACAGAAGAAAGAAACTTGAGAGTGAGTAAATGATGACAGAATTTTCATTTTCGGGTGAACTGTCCCTTTAAGTTTACAATGCTTTTGGGAAATACATCCAAAGCAAGTAGTTTTTCCACTATAAGCAGGAAACTTCACACAAGGAGCTTGTACCATGGGAAGCTACACTTTCAAACTAGTTTTCCCAACACTGATTCACACACATTCATAGTGAAGTAAAATGCATAGTACGAGACTTGTTGTTGAGTCTCACCCTTTATGCCAGGACGTCCTGTGAATCCTGGACGGCCGGGAAGCCCACTGAGACCTCTTGGACCTGGACTACCAGGAACTCCTGTGAGTAGCAGATGCAGTTATTAAAACGCTTGACAATAATAAACAAACAGAGTATGAGTGAGAAAATGCTGTGTGTGGAGTTTGTACCTGACAGTCCGCGGTCGCCTCTGTCTCCTTTCTGGCCTCTGTTTCCAGAGCAAGCGGAGCAGATGCAGAACCAGGGAACCTGGTCTGCTGTGGGTGGAACTGGAGCTTCCAGAATCATCTGACAATAGGATAAATCAGGCTCCGAAAATCCCGTTTGTCCCTGCGTGTCATTGGGTAGTAACCCAAACTCTGTTGCACGGGAGCCAGGCAGTAAAGCACACTGGCCGAAAAACAAACACACCAACACCCCCACGATACTCCTCATGTCCTGTAGGCAGAATTATAGAGTTAAATCTAATTACAGAGTAGCTTTAAAATATTATGTCACTGTCTCACAGCAAGAAAATCAAGAATGTTTAATTTCAATGCGTTGCTTGATAGGTACAAGGATGTTCTGGGTGGTTGCTAGCTGCATTGTTGTTTTAAATTAAAGATTATCGGAGTACATTCAACAAGAGAATGCTTTTTCAGACTTTCTACATCAAAATTCCATGTTTCTTCATATGTGACTCTGGACCACAAAACCAGTCATAAGGGTAAATTTTTCGAAATTGAGATGTATACATCATATGAAAGCTGAATAAATAAGCTTTACATTGATGTATTGTTTGTTAGGATTGGACAATATTTGGCTGAGATACAACTATTTGAAAATCTGGAATCTGAGGGTGCAAAAAAATCAAAATATTGAGAAAATCATCTTTAAAGTTGTCCAAATTAAGTTCTTAGCAATGCATATTACTAATCAAAAACTGCGTTTTAATATATTTACGGTATATTTACGGTAGGAAATTTACAAAATATCTTCATGGAACATGATCTTTACTTAATGTCCTAATGATTTTTGGCATAAAGGAAAAACGAATAATTTTGATCCATACAATGTATTGTTGGCTATTGCTACAAATATACCCCAGCGACTTAAGACTGCTTTTGTGCTCCAGGGTCACAAATATTTGTGAAATTTAGCAACTAGCAATTTCCAATAAAGCATAATATAGGAAATTTAATAGTATGCAAATACTAAGCTACAACACTAAATATTTAATACTATTTAGCATTGTTTTTGTTTTTATTCTGTATGTCATTTTCGTCAATTAATGGCAATTAGATAAGCCGGACGGACAGATTGATCACCCACCATGTTCCAGCGATACAGCATCTTGCTCTTCCTTAGTCCAGGTCAAGTGTGTGAAAAAATCTCTGATGTCCTGACGACCTACACTTATATACCTGCACCTGCGTGAGTGTGTTTGTGTGTATTTGACCGCTGGGAGTTGGACTTTTTTTCTCTCTCCATTCTCTGCGACCTCATTAGGCCCAAAATATCACGAGTAATAATACAGTAGAGAGAAAACTGCCTTTGTGTGAGTGACACAGCAGTGTGAGAGCAGGCGCGGCTCCATCAGGACTGTAACAGGAGAGAGCTGATGCGTCTCTGGAGATGATTTATAATACAGGGAAGCATGGGAACACGGCAGGCCTCTGACCCGATCCAGGTCAGATCTCTCACTCACACAAACACAGAGGATTCTCTTTCTGTAAGAACCAGTCAACAGAATATATGTAACAAGTAATACCTAGAATATCTGATCACAGATCTGTGAAGAGTATCCCATAATGCAGCAGTACATTTGTTGTTTTAATCTTTTATTTTGACAGCTGTAGCGCCACACTGAATTTATTGAAGAGTGATAGCTGTGCTATTTATTTCATACAGGGTAGCACTTTAAAATAAGGTCTCATTTGTTAATGCATTAACTAACATGAACTAACGATGGACAATATATTTTTACAGAATTTATTCATCTTTGTTAATGTTAGGTAATAAAAATGTTACTGTTCATGTTAGTTCACACCACATTAACTAATGTTAACAGATACAACTTTAAGTTTTAATCATGTATTAGGAAGTTTTGAACTTAGCATTTATTAATCTTAGTTAATATTATGTAAATATTGTTCGGGTTAACTACTATAGTTAATATTAGCAATTGAAACCTTATTGTAAAGTGTTACCTCATACAGTTCTGACTGTCATTTCCTCCCAGATTATTATACAGAAACTATAAGTTTGCATATTTTGTATACTTATCAACTATAAGTTGTTTGTTGACACACTGTGGCTTATAAAATATTCACTGTTTGTTTGAGCATTTGACAATTTTGTTGATTAGGTGGTTATGTCATACGTGTGTGTGTGTGTGTGTGTGTGTGTGTGTGACCCAGGGATATTACCCAGGGCTTTGCCGGATGAGGCTGCGGATATTGAGAGACAGATTGGTGTGTTTTTGATTGTGGCGTTTATTTTTCATTATTTTGCATTTTAACATTTTTGTTGTGTATGTTGATACTAAAGTTGTGGGTCTCTTTAAAGATAATTCTGGATCTTCAACATACCGTCCACCTCCCCGGACTAAAGAGATCCTTATAAATGACCAGGTGGTCAAGCTTAAATACTGTTTCTCATGCAAGATGTTCCGTCCGCCCCGGACATCCCACTGCAGCCTGTGTGACAACTGTGTCGGTAAGCACTGGAGCTTTAAAAAGATAGTTCACCCAGAAATTTAAATTTTGACAATTTACTCATCCTCATGTCATTCCAAATGGACTTTTATTCTTCTGTGGAACATAAAAGAAGATATTTTAAGAAATGTGTTGTTGTTGTTTTTTGTTGTCCATGCAAATGAAGTCAATGGTATAATAATGGGTTGGTTATCATCATTCTTCAGAGTGTGTGTGTGTGTGTGTGTGTGTTTTACAGAATAGCTTTTAAAAGGCCAAAAAATAACTCTCATCCCTTTCTGTTATCCATATGTGCATCATGTGAACATTATGAAAAGTTGGTTTTTCCCAGTGCAATCTTAACTTCCATTGTAAAGGCTTTAATGCAAAGGCGATTTAAGTTTATTTTTACCAACTGTGGGGCAACTGTATTCCTTTATTCCTTTAGATTGTGTTCACAAACTGGGTACAACTTTTTTTTATTGTGGGTCAAATTGACCCTCATTGGTTTCCATGCATTTTGCCAAAAAATGACACTATGAAAAATACTAAAGATTAATGTAAAAACAGGAAACCTCTATTGTAGCTTGTCACAAAATACAAGAGGAATTTAATAATTTATTAATTATTTTTATTGTGTTATTTCTATTGTGTTAGGAGCCAATTCGACCCACATATTTTTGTTCAAAATTAGCTGCACATACACAGAATTAAAGAATGAGTAGTCATGACCACTTGTAATGACTTTTTACACACTGAGGTGCAAGAAAGTATCTTTGTATTAGTGTAAGCAGTATTTATTGCTATTTGCACTACCTCTGCCTTTTTATGTCTCTTTCTCAAATCCCTGTGAGGCTAAATGGGTTTCTCACACTTCTTTTCAGTAACTGTGATCCAAACTAACAACGGACAGATGTTTTTGACTGTGAAACTCAACTAAGTAAAAAACAAGGATTTAAGATAAAGATGTCTGAATTTCGAGGAAACTTTCAGTCTTTAATCACATAAGTCATGTTTTCCATATTTTAGGGTTTGACAAGTTACAGCAAAGGTTTTCTGTTTTTGTTTTTTTTTGCCCGACACTTTAGTGTGCTGATTTTTGGCAAAATGCATTGAAAACAATAGGGGACCCCACAAAGTACAACATTTGTATAGCCTTTTCAAAACACATCTATGCGTCGAAACTTTGCATGCACATTCATGACCCTAAGTAAGAAATATCCACCAAATTTCAAGAAGAAATAAATAGTTTAAGCAGTTTGAAAATCGAGTTATTGGTCAAACTGACCCCAACACAACAGGGGTCAAATACTCTTTAAACTCACGTATTAAATATCTATGCCAAAAGATGTATTTGTGTACATTTATACATTTTGCAGAAGTTTTTATCGAAAGCAACTTACAAATATAATATCTGCAGAACGCAATGCTTGGTTTAAAGTATAGAGTTGATCAGTATAGCAGCAGAAACAGAAGTGAAATGCAGAAAAGAGAACAAGTGCATTTGTTTATGGTTGTGGATGAGTTCAGTGCTTGCAAAAGAGGTGTGTCTTCAGCTCTTCCTTGACGACATTAGAACAATGGAAATCAATGGGAATTCCCCAATTAATTAGCTTGGGAAATATGCATCCTTTGTGCCTGATCTGAATCCGATTCACATGCTGTTTTTGAAGTTGTTGCATAATTGAAACTGAACTGAATTGAGCTGAATAATGACACTATTGTCTTCTGAAATTGAATTTGTTTCATAATTGACAAATTTGTGACTGAATTGAGATGAATCAACATTGAACTGAATAATGACACTGAAAAAAAAAAGGTGGTGTTGAAACAATTCCTAGTAACATTTACAAATAATTACAAAGAAATGGCAAGTAATAGTGAATGAATGAAGACTGAAATGGTATTTTCCTTGTAAAAAGTACTCTGTTTTTATTTACCCTTTTTTTTTTACAGTGTATACTGCTTCACAGCATCATACAGCATTTAATAGTCATTTAAAAATTGATTAATTTAGCAACATTACCGCTGTAATTTTCCTGTTTATTACTGTGAAGCTTCACTTGGCTTGACTCTAATTTCCAGACAATAATGGATATAAAAAGGTGTTTATGTAACAAATAACACACATAACGTGTGGTGAAACACACACATACACATTATGCAGGATCAGATCCCATCATGTAAAAGAGTGGATTACTGTAAAAGGTGTGTGTTTGTGCATATTTGTGAAAGAGAATTATTGAGTGTTACTGAAGGAGACACAGTGTTGTTTGGAAAGAATGTGGTATTATGTCAAGGGGATGCATCCTAATGAGAGCTAGTGTGCGTTACTGAGGAAGTATGCATTGGCAAGATGTGAAACACAGATGTGAAACTGGACACACAAACACAAACAAAGCCTTGACCGCTTCTTCACAGCACCGCCCAGCTCCTGACCCTGTTTCTGCTGTCCTGCGCTTCTTTACACGGTCGCTCTGTGTTTGTTGTCTTTATGAGGAATTCGTATGTGCTGCGTAACCCCCCCAAAACCCATCAGGATCAAGTCTACAGTTACACACTCAGCAATCATTGCTGTATTGATTACATTAGGGTGTATATTTACAGGAAACACGCACTCTCGCTATTAAATTCTAGACTGTTCCATAACCTCAGGTTCAGCATTTTGCTTCAGGCTGTTGTGATCGTTATTGTGCTTTTAACGTCCACGGCTTTTTCTCAAAACATCCATCAATCTCCTGAAGAAACAGCTGAAGCTGACTCTATGGATGTATGACATCAAGTAAAATTGTGCATGATTTAAAAAATGCTGATATCCAAAACTACATAAAGTGATATAAAAAAAAAAAGACGAGGCACACTTCCTTGTAAAGTTCGCATCCTGAAAAGATGTCGGATTTTTTAATCCATTATTCGACAGGGTTGTTCTTAAATGTAGCACTGATTTCAATGGATCCTCTGCAGTGAATGGGTGCCGTCAGATGCTTGATCTCTGCATATTTCTCTCCTGATTCAGACAAGAAGACTTTTTCACAGGCGTGATTTGCTTCATTTTTGCTTTTAATCAGCTGTGTTTTGTGAATATTTAGTTGGTGTATGAAGGCAGTTTGAACTATGTTCCATAAATGTTTCATAAACACAAAGTGGCTTTTATTTCAAACACTTTATCTATTGTTTTAACATGTAAAATGGTACACACTTCTGTTTAATTGAAGGTATGCTTATGGTATCTTCTTTAAAATATATTATACTTAGCTTTTTGTAATGCAATCCCAGTTTACAAATATAAGTTGTAATGTTCCCATTCATTCATGAAAACATTATTTCTGAATGTTCTCTAAACGTTTAAAAAATGTCCAATTTTTTAAATGTTTTAAAAACTGTTTTTTTTTTTCTTGGTTGCATGAACGTTAAGGAAATATTCAATTTTATTGTTTTGTAAACATTATGGGAACGTTACTTTTGAATGTTCTCTGAACGTTCTGAAACTAGTAACATTTTAAAACGTGCACGAATGACGTATGAATCAAATTGATGTGCTCATGTTTTAAGAAGAGATAACATTCCATTAACGTTAGAAGAGCATTTGTTCATAACTTTCAGAATTAACTTTTTTTTCAACGTTTGCTGGATGACAAGGTTACTTTGGAAATGTAACAGGTTACAGATTACAAGTTACCCTATTTAAAATGTAATAAGCAGTGTAACGATTTCAGTTACAGTAATGTAACTGATTACTGATTACAGTGCTCAACACTGATTACTGTCAGACTTTCAAAATCTTCACTTGAATTAAGATTATAACAATACAATTTTAAAGCACAGCCACCACAAAATCAGACTTTAGCAGCTCTTTTTACTTTGAGGTCATTATGAGGTTAAATACAGATTTAAAATCATAAGTTAGTTTAATAGTTATGATACTGTTTTTGAAATCAAATCTTTGCATAGCCATGAGAGGAAACACTGGCATCTAACAAAGCCTTGGGAAATAAAATCAGTTAATTAAAAAAATAAATAAAAATAAAGCATACACAAACCCAAATAGTAAATAAAACGTTATCAAATAAGCATGTGTCATATTTTGTGTCGTCAACTCCTGAAACATTGGTGTCTCATATTTTAGAGCAGTCAATGCAATTTGGGAAAGAAATCAATCAAATCTGTGTGTGTGTGTGAAAATATTCAGATGTAACCCCCTTTGTAATTGTTAACATTTTCATAAGTAGCTGTTATTTAATTACACATTACACACAACAGATTACAGTTAATTAAATTACGTAATTCCATGTAACTAGTTACTCCCCAATGCTGCCTGTGCGTCCAAATCAGTGTTCATTTCGTTGATTGTGCATGATTTAAAAAATGCTGATATCCAAAACAATACATAAAGTGATATAAAAAAAAAAAAGACGAGGCACACTTCCTTGTAAAGTTCGCGTCCTGAAAAGATGTCGGATTTTTTAATCCATTATTCGACAGGGTTGTTCTTAAATGTAGCACTGATTTCAATGGATCCTCTGCAGTGAATGGGTGCCGTCAGATGCTTGATCTCTGCATATTTCTCTCCTGATTCAGACAAGAAGACTTTTTCACAGGCGTGATTTGCTTCATTTTTGCTTTTAATCAGCTGTGTTTTGTGAATATTTAGTTGGTGTATGAAGGCAGTTTGAACTATGTTCCATAAATGTTTCATAAACACAAAGTGGCTTTTATTTCAAACACTTTATCTATTGTTTTAACATGTAAAATGGTACACACTTCTGTTTAATTGAAGGTATGCTTATGGTATCTTCTTTAAAATATATTATACTTAGCTTTTTGTAATGCAATCCCAGTTTACAAATATAAGTTGTAATGTTCCCATTCATTCATGAAAACATTATTTCTGAATGTTCTCTAAACGTTTAAAAAATGTCCAATTTTTTAAATGTTTTAAAAACTGTTTTTTTTTTTCTTGGTTGCATGAACGTTAAGGAAATATTCAATTTTATTGTTTTGTAAACATTATGGGAACGTTACTTTTGAATGTTCTCTGAACGTTCTGAAACTAGTAACATTTTAAAACGTGCACGAATGACGTATGAATCAAATTGATGTGCTCATGTTTTAAGAAGAGATAACATTCCATTAACGTTAGAAGAGCATTTGTTCATAACTTTCAGAATTAACTTTTTTTTCAACGTTTGCTGGATGACAAGGTTACTTTGGAAATGTAACAGGTTACAGATTACAAGTTACCCTATTTAAAATGTAATAAGCAGTGTAACGATTTCAGTTACAGTAATGTAACTGATTACTGATTACAGTGCTCAACACTGATTACTGTCAGACTTTCAAAATCTTCACTTGAATTAAGATTATAACAATACAATTTTAAAGCACAGCCACCACAAAATCAGACTTTAGCAGCTCTTTTTACTTTGAGGTCATTATGAGGTTAAATACAGATTTAAAATCATAAGTTAGTTTAATAGTTATGATACTGTTTTTGAAATCAAATCTTTGCATAGCCATGAGAGGAAACACTGGCATCTAACAAAGCCTTGGGAAATAAAATCAGTTAATTAAAAAAATAAATAAAAATAAAGCATACACAAACCCAAATAGTAAATAAAACGTTATCAAATAAGCATGTGTCATATTTTGTGTCGTCAACTCCTGAAACATTGGTGTCTCATATTTTAGAGCAGTCAATGCAATTTGGGAAAGAAATCAATCAAATCTGTGTGTGTGTGTGAAAATATTCAGATGTAACCCCCTTTGTAATTGTTAACATTTTCATAAGTAGCTGTTATTTAATTACACATTACACACAACAGATTACAGTTAATTAAATTACGTAATTCCATGTAACTAGTTACTCCCCAATGCTGCCTGTGCGTCCAAATCAGTGTTCATTTCGTTGATGAATAATTTTCGTCATAATTGTCGTCAACGAAATTTTTTCACAGACGACAACTAGACGTTAACGAACTCTTTTTGAATGACAAAAACTATGACGTAAATCTATTGACATTTTCGTCAACGAATAAAAACGATTTGGGATTTGGGATGAGAATCATTCAGAACGAATCTGCTGCGTGGCTCTTGAGGTTCTGCGTAGGCCTACATATGAACTGGCGGGACATAAGCTAAAATACACTTGCTGCACGTCGCATAAAACGTTCAAAATGTGTGTCACAACAGTTAAATCAGTGTCTATCATGATAAAACCTTAAGATCAAACCTATATAATGAGTTTGGACGTTTTTGAGAAATGCTTAATAAATGCATTAGGCTACACTGTAACTAAACCCATTAGATTTAGCCGACTAAATTTACTGTAGATTTAGTCGACTAAAACTAGACTAAAACTAAAAACAATTCAGATGACTAAAACTAAATGGCATTTAGTCAAAAGACTATGACTAAAACTAAATCAAAATTTGCTGTCAAAATTAACACTGGTCCAAATGTGTCGGGGGTCACTCGTTCAGTACAGCGTCTCAGCTGTAGCTCCTCTGTCCGGTAGGCGGCGCACTCTCCCGCTCTCCGGGCTGCAGTGCTCGGTCTGTCCGTGCGGCGGCGCTGTGAGGCCGGTCCCGCTGGAACACGTCCGTGAGTGTGAGTCCCGGGGGCTGGAGCGCAGGATGGCGGCGGTCGGTGCTGCTGAGGCCGAGTCGTCGGACAGTGAGCCGGAGCAGGAGCACGGCTCCCCGCAGAAGCTCATTCGGAAGGTCTCCACGTCCGGTCAGATCCGGAGCAAGGTAATGTAGCACGTGCGTGTGTGTTTAGCGTCAGTTTTCCAAAGAGAAAAGCGCTTGAGACCGAGCGGCCGGCCCGTCCGAGATCCGCGACGTTTCCTGCAGGTCCAGACCCTCCGGTTCCGACCGACACCGACACCGGTCGCTGATACGAGCGCGGCTGAATGTAACAGAACCGCGCGGCTCTGTGATGATGAGCGCTCGAGGTCGGCTGTAGCGCTACATTGTAACCGTTTGTTCGGAATCTGTGCGTTTGAAAATGAAACACTGTAACACTTGCAGCGCAGCGGTTACATTCAAACACAAATTCCCTTACAAAAAATTACCATACTTTGTTTCTGCTGCAGTACAACAGTTGCTGCTGCAGTTATTTTACTGTAGTAAAAATATAGATATAAATAATACTAAAAAGGAGGAAACAATAGAAAATGTATTGAGGCGGTTTTTAAGGAAATTACATATTAATTTTATTATAAAGCATATTATTATCAGTAGCAAAATATGTGCAAATATATCTTAATTTAGGTGGAAACTGTCTACCGTAATTCATTTTGAAAGGCAGCATGTCTGTCTGTCGGCCGGTTCATTTTACAAGCTCAAACCTAAGAGAAAATCCCTCTTTTAATCATAGTTTATGCCCGTACGTCATAGTTATCATTTATTATTACTACTGTAAAGCTGTGGTAACTTGTATCAACCTCCACTGTCATCAAAGGTCTGGAAAGCGTCTGTTTGTTGCAAATTTAATGTCATTTGTGCACTGCATTTTAGTAATAATAACTACAGTAACTAGCTTGTTGTAAAGGTTTGAGCTTCAGGATCTGAGCTGGCAAACCAAAGGTAGAATTATGAGTTATCACTGTTCACTTATTCAAAACCAGTGTTTGCGATCAGAGTCATATTAACAGTGTTGACATTTTGAGCTTGTTCCGTTACTGACAAACAGCTCAGCGTAAGATAAAGTGATAGAGAACTTGTTCTTGCAGAATTCACTTCCTGAAAGCTTGAGCTTGCCATTTTGACAGAATTCTTTGATTTAGTGCATTCTTCTTGTATGTTGGATCTGGTTTCATTAATGCATATCCCGATTGCCCTTTTTGAAAGACTCAAAAATAAAAAAAAATGTATAGCCATCTATAAATATCAGCTGCTTTCTGTGTGAATGAGGTGTAGATTTATGGTTAAGATACCGCATTTCTGTAAATATCATTAGCTTGCTATGAAAAGCATTGTGTATATGAGAGAGCCTTAAAAGCCTGTGCGTATCCGGTCAGTGAGATGATGCTCTGTTGCTCAGGACTGACCGGAGATGATCTGCGGTTGCATCATTCATATGCTCTTATGGTGTCTGATTTATCGTTTAATATCTTTCACCTAGAAAACTAACCGAGTATCGTTTGCTCGTGCTGAAGGGCACTTCACAGCCAGAGTCAGAGGAAAGTGCTTCTGTGTGATTAAGGCTAAAGCCTTGTTTTTTCATCAACCGGTTTAGTTTGGAGATTTCTATAACATTCTTCTTTAAGACTAGTGGAAACGAAACATACTAAATACACATTTAAGCGTATTTTATTACATTTGATCTATTTGCGACTGTTATAATGCATATCTTTTAAGGCCGTTTTGTCAAAAAGAGTTTCCTCCTCCACTTCAGCAGCACTTATAGAATTTATTTCTCTATATTCTGAAGGTTTTTACCGAGGGGTTTGTTCATATATGATTCATCTTGATTTATATAACATTTTATTCCTAAAGCATAGTATAAATGTATTTGTTTTCTGGCTGTTGACAGTATTTTCTGATTTATTCAGTGATTAAAAGAGAAATCCATAATCTCTTCTGTAAACACCTTTAACTCTAATGTTTAGAGTTAAATGTTTAACTTTTAACAACAAGTTATTTTATACGCATAGAAAGCATATTAAATGCAAGCAAAGCATCTACTTTAATGTTTTAAATAACTTTTGCAAATTATATGAGTGGAAAAATGTTCCATTATCATTGTTCCATTGTCTTTTCACATATATTTATGTAAAAATGAAACAACATATTTTTTTCTGACCTGTACTTATTAAAATATATGTGACCCTGGAGCACAAAACCAGTCATAAGGGTACATTTTTTTTTAAATTGAGATTTCTACATCATCTGAAAGCTGAATAAATAATCTTTCCATTGATGTGTGGTTTGTTAGGATCGGACAATATCTGGCTGAGATGCAACTATTTGAAAATCTGGAATCTGAGGGTGCAAAAAAAAATCAAAATATTGAGAAAATCATCTTTAAAGTTGTCCAGATGAAGTTCTTAGCAATGCATATTACTAATCATAAATTAAGTTTTGATATATTTATGGTAGGAAATTTACAAAATGTCTTCATGGAACATGATCTTTACTTAATATCCTAATGATTTTTGGCATAAAAGAAAAATCAATAATTTTGTCCCATACAATGGCTATTGCTATAAATATACCCCAGCAACTTAAGACTGCTTTTGTGCTCCAGGGTCACAAATATAAAATAAAAAGTTTTTGATAAAACCTAGTGGTTTGAAGGATCGTGGTAAAGATTTAAAATAATAATTAAATAGTTTTTGGAGGCTGTAAACCTTAAATAGAGTCTTTTAATGTCATTCTTGATCTAAATACGCCTGACTTGATTTATTGTTATATGAACTATTGTTACACCGATTGACATTTTAGTGGGTGTCTTCAGTAAATCATGGAAAAAATGTATGATAGTCATTACTTTTGCTCAGAAAAAACAAAAATTAGACACAACACATTCTAATGCATGGATGAAAGTTTAAAAGCGGTATTGCACTTTTATTCTTTTGATGCTTGAAAACCCCTTTACGTCTGACCCAAGTGTGTAGGGACAAGGCATGGACATGAGGGTAAATGATGACACGCGTTGTTATTTTTAGGTGCACTATTCCTTGAAGTCTACAGGAAGTGCGCATTAGTTAAGGTAGCACTAACGCGTGGGTGGCCAAAGGCTCCTCTGCAACAAGGCCGGCCTGTAAACGCCGCTGCGGCTCTGGGCTGGATTCTGAGAAGAGGAAGCTGTGTCTCGCCCCTGTACTGTCATCACGTCTGTGTGCTGCGCTGCGCTGTGGTGGGGGGAGAAAGGAGAAAGGTCACGGCCTCTTTGAGTCTGATCAGACAGAGGTGAGATGAAAGCGTTCGCTACAGTAACTGCAGGCATCTGTCCGCTGAAAGGTCACGTTTGACCAGCGGGTGAATCTGTGATTTCAGAGCATTCGTTTGGTTTGCTGAAAAGCATCTTTATGAGAGTAAAAACACTATGAGGTAGAGTTTTCACAGCTGTAACTCGAGGAACGCTCAGCCCTTCATCAGACGGATTGCTGTCGCACAGCTGCAAGCTGTAAATCTAGAGGACTGTTGGACACAGTATTACTGAGATTCTTGCTATAATCATCTATATTTACATTTGAATTACATTATTTAGGAAATGCTTTGGATAAATGACTTCGTAAACTCACCCTCTGCCCATCCGAGATCAGGATGAGTGTGTTTCTTCGTCAGATTTGGAGAAATGTAGCATTGCATCACTTGCTCAGCAATGGATGCTCTGCAGTGAATGGGTGCCGTCAGAATGAGAGTCTAAACAGCTGATAAAAACATCACAATAATCCACAAGTAATCCACAGCACTCCAGTCCATCAGTTAACATCTTGTGAAGAGAAAAAAGAAAAACAAAATCAACATTAGCCAGACGCTTCTGGCTAAAATATGAGATTTCGGTCTAATCGAGTCCAACTAACTTGTTACCTGACAGGTTTTGACATCCCATGTTTTAACTTTTATAAAAATATCAAAAGTTATACAGAACAATCGGTGCAAACATTCACGTGTAAATATATTCTTTATATACTGTAAATAGTGGTTCTGTGTGGTGTACCGCACAGGCTTTGTTTCAGTTTATTAAAATCAGTATTATTTTAGCATCATATACTAGTTTTTGTTAATATTTTGAATGCAATTTTAAATGTTCTGTTTTCATTTTTATTTTAATTGTGTTTTTCTTTTAAAATAAGTCTATATCGTTTTTATTGAATATTAGTTCTTAGTTTTAGTTTATTTAGTTTTAGTTATTTTAGTACTTCAACATAAACTAATGAATATGAGAATTTTTGCATTGGCACCTAGCTGAAAAAATAAGTTTACCTTTGTTTTTTTTATATTTGATTTCATTTCAGTTAATGTTTATTTTATTTCAAGTAATGAAAATGTTTTTTGGATTTAGTTAATGATATTAATAAGTTCATAATATTTTGAATGACATTTTATTTTTATATTTTCTGTTTTCATTTTAAATTGTAGTTAAAGTTTTAGTAATTTTGTTGTGTTTTTTATTTTTGTTTTAAAATAGTTTTTATTTGATTAGTTCTTAGTTGTAGTTTTAGTTATTTTAGTAGTTCAACATAAACTTAATTAAAATGAGAAATGTTGCCCTGGAAACTAGCTGAAAAAAGTTAACTTTTATTATTTATTTTATTTTAATTCAGTGAATGTTTATTTCATTTCAAGTAATGTAAATGCTTTTTGGTTTTAGCTTTGGATTATGATATTAATATATGAATAATATTTTGTATTGGATTGTATTTTTATATTTAATATTTTCATTTTATATTTAGTTAAAGTTTTAGTAATTTTGTTGCGTTTTTTTTTTTTTTTAATATATCTGTATACTTTTTGATAGTTTTTATAATTTTGTTATAGGTTTTTTATTTTATTTTTGTACTTTTTTTAGATTTTGTTTTAATATTTTATTTCAGTTAATGTTTATTTTAATCTAATTTTTTTTAAATGTTTTAGTTTTAGTTGATAACCCTGATTAAATCCTGAGTTCATTAAAAACGACATCAAGCGCTCATGTCATTCATGCTGCAGCGCACCGGATGTAAAGATGTAAAGTTAGTGTGCGGTTAGGAAATGGCTCTATTATCTGCATCAAGGCTTGGAGTGAGCTATTTTGGTAGCTCTTCTCAAAGCTTGAGCACTGCACAAGCGGGTCAAGCTTCCTGTGGGGTGTGTTTTAGACTGTTTTATGACAGGTGCCTTCAGTGGCAGAGAAAAGGGCATTTACTGTCAGCGGAAACCAGCATGAGTGTGTGTGTGTGTGTGTGTGTGTGTGTGTGTGTGTATATGTGTGTGTGGCGTAGAACCCTCACGTCAGTCAGACGCTTCTCGCTCTGACCTGTGTCTCATGGATTGCACTAGGGGCCAGGTTAGTCTGTTACACTCTCTGAATGTTTGTGTTTGTGCTGCTTTATGATACTTAGTCATATTGACTGACTGCATATTTTGTAAGATGGACCCAGAAAAACCTTTATCTCAAGTGCATTTAAAGAATCATATATGCAAAATGGTTTAGTCTTTTTTTATTCTAGGTGCTTGTATTTATGATAAAGTTTGTTGAATGCTGAATCTGTAATTGCTTGTGATGCTGATATGGCAATGCATTTAAATAAAACCAACCATACTGACCGTCTGTGCTCTGAATCCTGCACGCAGCCTGATGTTCGGTGTGTTTTGTGGACTTGTAAAGCTTTCGGATAGAGTTGCATTTGTGCATTTGTCTCATTACTTTGCTGAATATTTATGCATGAAAAGTTTGCATGCTTTTTCTCGCTGTAGCGACCTTGAGTTTTAAAGATATGATGCATTATTATCAACCTGTTCCAGGAGTTAAATTTGATCAATGTTTTTTAATGTGTTTTTTAAAAGTCTGAATTTTGCAGCATCCCGCGTCCGATTTATTTAAGTGTTTGTTTGCTGTTGTACAGTATGTTTAAAATTGTGTAATGCACGATGAGATTTTGAACATTTTTATGGTTTGTAGACCCTCTTTCAATGTGTGTCTGTGGGATTTTTTTCAGTTTTCTGATCTAGTGGGTGAAAATGGTGCGTCTCATTACTTAGTAAAGTAAAATAACACATATGGTTTGAGGAATCATTCATGTCTGGAGCACAAACACTGCAGGAATCAATCTTAAATATGAACAATATTAATAGCTATGCTTGTAAATTAGAAATAAGATGTTAGAGTGAGATGTGTTGCGCTCTGCTGCTCCCTTTAGGTCTAACATGGAACTGCAGGCTGTGTGTGTGTGTGTGTGTGTGTGTGTTTCTGAGGTTGGAGTGAAGTTGTGTGGTTTCTTGGTGTAAAAATATCATTCCATTCAAGGTTTGTGGGAGATGTAATGATGTGTAAAGAGCCGCTCGAGGAGGATGATGATGCCATTTATTACGTAAATGAACGCGGGTGACTGGAACGAAAGGAATTTTCACATACTTCTCTCTCTCTCTCGCTTCTTCTAGACGATTTTAAAAGAGGGAAAGTTGATGAAACAGACAAATTTTCAGCGCTGGAAGAGACGTTACTTTAAACTGCGGGGAAGAACGCTGTACTACGCTCAGACGGCCAAGGTCTGTCTAAACAACACACACACACACACTTTTAATTAGCTGTGTGAATTAGAGCATACCATAAACTTCTATTACTTCTATGTAAAGCTTTTTATAATTAATACACACTAAGCCAAACCCTAAAACTATATATATATATATATATATACATATATGCTTAAATTCGCTTCTGGAAACAATTTTGTATTGTAGATATTTATAAGTAAACACATAAATCACAAAAAGATTTAGATGAAATGTCACTGGATTCTTAATTATTTATTGATTTGTTTTCAGTCAATTATTTTTGATGAAGTGGATCTGACGGATGCCAGCGTAGCAGAATCAAGCACGAAGAACGTTAACAATAGCTTTACTGTGAGTTCACACACACACAGACACACACATAGACACACATAGACACACTCTCACAGACACACGCACACACACACACACACACGCATACTCTCTCACTCACACACACACACGCACACAAGACTTATTATTTAAATGAGGATATGTTGTAATGTTCTTTCATATAAAGCTAATTATAATTGGACCTGAATTGTGTGATGTGATGTGAGTGGTGCTTGCCTGTGCAAAACGTCCCATGATTAGGGAATTATTTATTTAACAATTCCAGCTCTGATTCCGCTCAGTGATTCCTTAAAGACTCTATTAACAATTATTTAGTACTGTTCAGGAAGAAATGGTCTGGAAAAAGAAATCACATGACTGCATTTACGGCCCTCAGCAGTCTGTTTGCCAAATGACGAGCTCGTTTCAGAATAGATATAAGAAGTCAGAAATAATTCTATTTGAAAGGCTTTTCATTGACGTTTTAGAGCCACCATAAATGCTAATTTTTCTGTATATTACATAAATATGACACACTTCTGTTCAAAAGTTTGAGGTTGGTATAATTTTTTTATGGTATGATTTTGCATTTATTTGATCAAAAATACTGTAAAAATAGTGAAATATTATTACAATATGCTGTTTTTTATGTGAATATCTGTTAAAATGTAATTTATTTCTGTGATGCGCAGCTGTATTTTCAGCATCATTACTCCAGTCTTCAGTGTCACATGATCTTCAGAAATCATTCTAATATGCTGATTTGCTGCTCGAGAAACATTTATGATTATTATCAATGTTGAAAACAGTTCATATTTTTGTGGAAACTGATACATTTTATTTTTCAGGATTCTTTGATGAACAGAATGTTCAAAAGAACAGCATTTATTTGAAATAGAAATCTTTTATAACATTATAAATGTTTTTACTGTCACTCTCAAGTCTCTTTGATGTTCTGATCTCAAGATATGGTGCAAAATCATGGGATTTTTTTTTTTTTAAGTCTAATGACTTAATGCTAAACTTCATTGATAACCCCTAAAAGAAAACTTTTTGCATTTGTAGCAAACAAAACCTATTTTTAGCTTTGAGAATGTCTGTTTTAGGTCAGATTTAGCTCACTTCTGGAGACAATTTGGTGCTAAAAGCGTAGTTGAGTAAACACTTGTTTCTTGTGTTTTCTGTGGCATTCTCGGCGAGGAAATTAAGCTTCTGAGAAAAACGCGGAGTGTGTTTATTCTGGATCTGATAAACAGAACGGCCTGAAATAGTCTGGAGCACATGTGTGTGTGTTCGTGTATTTATAGCTGACATTTGGACTGATTTCATTTTAATTGCAGGGAGGAGCTCGCGCTTTTCCATGCTCTGTCTACTCTGTTCTGGGCTGCGTGTGCGTGTTCGCTGTGTTTTCGTATGCATTTTTTCTGCCTGCTGCTGGTTTGTGGGAGGGTCTCCGGCAGGACGCGGCTCTCTGAGTCATTGTGATGGAAAAAGGGAGGAGTCTTTGAAAGAGAGAGGGAAGGAAAGACACATGGATCAGCTGAGGAAGGAGAGTAAGGAATGATTTGCCGTTGAGCCGGTTTGTAGATCTCCATATGGCTCAGATCAACCTACACAGACAGGAAAAGAGAGAGCGATAGAGAGACATAAGGAGAAAGAAGAGTTTTATTGGAGTGCCTGGATTTGCCGGCAAATAAGTAAGAGGAAAGAATGTGTGGAATGAGAGGAAAAGAAAGTGCGTGTGTGTGTAAAAAGGGATAGTTCACCTCAAAATCATCATTTATGCTGTGTTACTTTCTTCTTTTTTTAAAGAACATTGGGGTCCAAACAGCTTTGGACCCCATTGACTTTTATTGTATGGACAAAAAAACTCAAAATATGTTATTTTTGTTCCACAGAAAAATGACAGGATGGACTTTAACTAATACGTTTATTGGCCACAGATGTGAGCTAAATCTGACAAATCTGTTGTTCGGGGAAATCTGGCCAAGTCTTTAAAGGTGATTCATAAAGTAAAATGATGTTTTACTATGTGTTCTTTTTTTAGGGCTAGGGTTAGATTTTGGTCATCTGTAATCTCCATGAATAGCTTTATATGTAAACGATTCAGGCCTGTCGTATGTCTTCATTTAGGTAGGTTTGTGTGTGTGTTTTGAACACTTTGTCCAGTGTTGGTGTTTTGGCCTTGGGCTCAGTATGACAGCAGCCTCTGTGTGTGTGTGTGTGTGTGTGTGTGTGTGTGTGTGTGTGTGTGTGAATAACTATCTAGATTAGATCTGCATGATAATAACACTTGTAAATTTGAGATATTTTGTAGAATAGGGCTGTCATTCCATTAATATAATAATATGCCAGTTAATTAATAAAATTAATGGCATACACTATACGCTGTTCAAAAGTTTGGGGTAGGTACGTTTTTTAAAGAATTTCATATTTTTATTCAGTGAAATGTAGCATTGCATCAGTGTCTCAGCAATGGATGCTCTGCAGTGAATGGGTGCCGTCAGAATGAGAGTCCAAACAGCTGATAAAAACATCACAATAATCCACAAGTAATCCACAGCACTCCAGTCCATCAGTTAACATCTGGAGAAGACAAAAGCTGAAACAAATCCAGCATTAAGACGTTTTTAATTTCGAACAGTTGCCTATTTCTAATATATGAGTCCATAATCCATAATAATGCTTCCTCCAGTGAAAAATCTCCTGTCACATCAAAATACACGCACATATTTGTTTAGAGCTGTTTTGGCTTGTAAACGGTGCTTGATCTGTGCAGATTTCTCTCCTGATTTCCGCTGCGTGTCAGCTGAGCCGCGTGTCTGTATATTTTAGTTGGTTTTATGAGGCAGCTTGTGTACTCTGTGAAATGAATAATATGATCGGTTTATGTGTGTGTGTGTGTGCTGGTCGAGGAAAGGCGTGAGTTATTTTTATCCGTGTGGGAACAGAGGGTCTTTGTCAGCAGCTGGAGGAAACGGACTGGGAAGTTGTGGTAGACACACACACACACACACACACACACATACACACATACATATACAAACACACACAAACACAA